GTTCTTTTGTTCGGTCGAGTGTCGATGTGAGTTTCAGGCGTAGTTTTAAATCCTGGCCGTTTTCGTACATGCTTTTTTTTTTCTCTGGCTTTTTCAGCATTTCGGTTTTGACATTTTTTTCTCTCCTAATGCTTCCATATTTTTTTTCATTCACTTATATTGTTATCATTTTTTTTTTTTGCCATCTCTTTATTTTTTTGAGATTATAATTCTTTTTACTATTTGTATTTCATTAATTATTCCCAGGTCCTGACCTTGTTCACGTTAAAGACAGATCCTCTCGAACGGAAATGTATATTAGAGTTTTCCGATGCAAATTCCTGGATTTTTATTATTTCCTAGGCTCAGAAGCCCAATTACTTTCTCTCTCTCTCTCTCTCTCTCTTTCCTACCCTCCCTGTCTTTCTCCATCAGAAGCAGTCGGCAAATAGCCACGCCCTACCAATATAAATAACCACTGATAAAAATATTAAAGCTGAATAGGGATCGTTAAATGGGGTCAAACAAACTCACATCGATTCGTCTGACCTGAAAATCAGTAATGAGAAATAATTCTCCTTCTTCTGTGTGCTGTGTCCTTTCATGACGTGAGCGATCAAGACCCTCCACACCTTCTAATCTCTTGTAGACTTTAGCAACTGATGTAATAGAATAACCATTCACCCCATGTTGTGTCGGAAACCTACCACCCCTCTTGAAGATGAACTTGTCTGCGTCTGTGAACAAAGACTTCAAATCGTGGCATGTCAGTTGACATGGGGAAGATAGATAGACCGAGAGGGTAAGACCTCCGAGTCTAGCTGAGTCGTGATACAGTCTTTGACTGTAAGCGACGTCTGTCGAACTCTCTGCGTTAGCAGAGAGGAACCAGACGAAGCTTTGCCGAAGGGCAAGGTTTCGTTCAGGGGAGATAAACAGGGCCTGAACCCGTCTAGGCGGGTTCAAAGGCTATATTTTTGGCCGAGCCTACGGGCTCGGAGATACCCACATTCAATCCTCGTGGGTGGATCGATAAATACTAAGACAGACAGAGAAGTTCTTAGCTGAGCTAGTTATTGACTACTCAGGCAATTTCTGTACCTTTTTACCAACCTATTAAAACCCTTTTTATTGTTACGTGTTATTTGGCGTTTGTCTTTACTAACCCCAAATCAACATCATAACACCCCATAAATGATTACACGATGGGTAGTAAGTACCTATAAAGTTAACTGTCTACGAGAGACTTGAGGAAGAATGAGAGAGAGCGAGACAACGCAAGCACGCGTGATCTTCCAATTAGTGGTACTCATTACTAGATTGACCTATGTGTATAACTGTATCGTTTTTCATATTGTACTGGCTGTGTACAATAAACCTTTCTTCTATTATCTACCTGATGTTAAGTATTTATTCCCTTATCATGGAATATAATAGCAACGTTTGTCATTTACCGAACCTAGCATCTCCGTGAGTGTCAAACTCTCCAAGCCGTCAAATTTAGTTGTCTGTTTCTGATTCTGGATATATGTGTTGTTATTGTTATTGATTTTTCCTTCTGACTCATTACAGGACCCGCCTCTTGAATTCTCAGCCACTAGTTTACTCTCCATCTGAGAGGCGATTGTCCAGCATGCAATGCCATACAAGAGGATAGATATAATAAGAGTTCGACACACATCTGTTTGCTTCTAACGAAACTTTCCTGGTTCTTTGTTTAGTTTTTGGAAGACATCTTTTGCTATGCGTTCGAAATTTAGTGTCGCATTTGGTTAGGTTAGTTGAAGTCAAATATTTTTATAGGGCACCCAGTGGAGATCGAACCCATTACTAAGTTGTAATAGTCAACCAACCTAGCTTTACTAACAATACTCGATACTGAGGTGACTTATCTTCACCCATATATATTAAGTAGTCCAAAAAATAATGGTAGATTTTAGAAAAAACCTTTTGTGTTCTAATATTTACTCAACTCCGTACGAGGTCAGATTGTGACATGAGGTCTGTTTAATGTGGGGAGCCCGAGCGCGTACACCCGGGATAGGAACAAAAATTCCTGAGCCCCCGCAACCATCGGTTGCGCTGGTCTATGTGCATGCACCAATAGTGCAATGAGAGGGCGCGGCCTCGTACAGTTGTTCCCCAGGGCCGGTACCTCTCAGTATAATTTTCCTCAGTTGCGACTCAGTACCTTGACGGAGTCATCCCTGAGAGCACTCTGCCCAAAGACAGAGACGCAACTGAGAGATGGTAAATAATGTGATACAAACCACTCGAGAGAAAGAGAGAGAGAGAGAGTAATTTACACATTTTTGATTTTCTAAGCGTAGCTTAGATGTGGTACATGGCCAAAAGAATAGGGCAAACAGTGAGAATCGAACTCAGTCTTAAGTGTTTTAGCGAGACAAGCTTGCTAACCATTACACCACGCCGGGGCGCCTTAGTGATCTAATATTACTAATTCCTAATGATTAAAGTGTCGTCTTTGTTAATTTTTCATCCATCGCTTTCAGAATTGAAATGAATATATTATATAGGCTTCAATTTGAACATGAAAACAGAAGAGACCTTTCTACTGTTTCTTGCATGAGTTTAATCTTGGCCATATTGCTTCTCAAACTGCTCCCAACATTAACGAGGCATGGGGTAAAGGACTCACATGTAATTAGGCAGTACGGTGTTGGTTTCTGAATTCCGCACTAAGGATACGAATCTTGGTGATCAAGTTAGCAGGGCACGTCCATCTGCAATTGAGAATGAATATCTGAAAACGCTAGTCGAACAAAATTCACGTCAAAGTATCAGAAATGGTTCAGATAATGTATATATCAGTGTTTCAACAGTATAGGAAACACTCAAGAAAATTGGCGCGACGAAGAAAAATAGGTTCCATATGAACTCAGTGAGTCAAAGAGACAGACTTTTTAACGTATGTTCGGTGCTGCATATGCGACATTCAAATGGTTCATTTCCTGATTGAATATTGATTGTAATGAGAAATGGATCAATTATGAAAGTCGATCGACTCAGTGGCTTGATCATGACGAAAGAACTAAACACTTCCCAAAATCAAAATTGAACCAACCAAAGAATATGGTGACTGTCTGATGTTCTGCCATTGATTATCCGTTTCAGCATTCGGTAATCTAATCATAGCCTAGATGTCGAAGGCTATTGCCAGCAACTAAATGGAATGCACATTCAGTTGAGCAAAATGCGACCTGCACTGATTAATCGTCGAGGTCCAGTGCCACTTCATGTCAATGCTTGTCCACGTGTTGCCAGGATGACACCGACGAAGCTCACCAACTTGGGAGAGGAGACCTTGCCACATACACCGTATTCCCATCATCACTCGCCCGCTGACTACCACTTATTCAAGCATCCTGACAATTTTTCAGGCTAAAAGCAATTCGGATACAAAGAAGATATCAAAATTGCATTCAAAGATTTCCTGGCGTTCAAACCATTCGGGTTTTATCAAAAAGACATCAATAACTTTGTACCGCGAAGACAGAAATTTACGGAAAATCATGGGACCTAATATGCATTTTAAATACATTCATTTAAGAATGAAATTTAAATCTAGAATCAGACATTCTTTTGTAAACAACTTAATACATATACCCGCCATACTCTCTCTCTCTCTCTGCATATATATATATATATATATATATATATATATATATATATATACAGATAACATATATATATATATATACAGATAACATATATATATATATATATATATATATATATATATAAATATATATATATATATATATATATATATATATATATATATATATATATATATATATATATATATATATATATATATACAAATATATACATAAGTAGCTTTAATTATCTTCCCAAACCAAAACAAATCTATTAAATAAGCGATATAAACAAATTTTTACTATGTTAATAAAAACACAGACTAATAATAAATAAATAAATAAGATGAAAAAAAAAACAAACAAATAAAAACAAGCAATGTAACCCAAATAAATAAGTAAATAAAAAAATAAAAAAAAACGACTTCCAGTAAAGTAACTTGAAAAATAGACTATCCACAATGCACCACTGACCCGTATATATAAATAGCCGAGAGAAATGACAGCACTCGTTGCCTGATGATTGCATCTAGCATGAAACAGACTGTCGCCTCTAAGTGTTGACTTCTATGTTTACTTATATATATATATATATATATATATATATATATATATATATATGTGTGTGTGTGTGTGTGTGTGTGTGTGTGTGTATTACCAATCTGCTTGTCTGAATCATCTTCAAGAAGCGAGAGCAAGATCTAAAAGATCAACCAATCAAACAGTGATCTCATCTCACAATCCTCACACTTTCTCCATATGCGACCTCCTTTGTAAATCACTAGCAGATCCTCATACGTTTAAACCGACAGGAGAGTCCATTATACACACACACACACACACACACACACACACATATATATATATATATATATATATATACATATATATATATATATATATATATATATATATATATGCATATGTAATTTCTATATATATGTGAGTTATATATTATATATGCGCAGCACTTATTGGAAAACGCTGAGTATTAGTGATAGACCTAGTTGTATCAATATGAGATTGTGAACCTGGATTTCACGCACTTACAATCGGCAGACAAACTCAATATATATATATATATATATATATATATATATATATATATATATATATATGGGTTGATTGAAAATTATGTTAACATTATTATGAGAGGATGAGTGAAAATTATGTGAATACTAGCATGATAGTAATCATTTATTAAGGGTTTACTGAACAGTCACCACCTGTCAACCAGCTCAACTGATGCGCAAAACCCAACGATCAACAGTAGAATTCAGTGTCTTGACACACATTTCCAGGGGAAATGTTTGATATTAAACCTTTTATTTTGTCCTTTAGTTCTTCGAGATCTCTTTTTTTTTTCTATACACGCGTTTCTTTATCATATCCCATAACCAGATGTCACAGCGTGTAATTGGCCAATGTTTCTTTACGACTCCAGCGATGACTGCAAATGCTTACTTAGAAATTCTGCAAGAGTTTGCTATTGATAACATACCCCTACAAATAAGACGAGCGGAGTATTACCAACAGGATAGTGCATCGCCTCATTTTGCCCCTACTATTCGCGCTTGTCTTGATCAAAGTTACTCAAATCGATGGATAAGTCGCAGCCGACCGTTGGCATAGCCACCATGCTCCCTTAATCTGACTAAATTGTAATGTTCATCGCTAGCTTTTGTGCATTAATCGTTCTGGAGGACAGGTGGAGACTTTTGAATTATCCTCTCATACGAGAATTAACATAATTTTTACTCACCCTGTATATATCTATATGTGTGTAGCGCAGATAAATACGGAATTTTGACGTAGCAACAGCGTCGTGGCGTCATAGCGCAGCAAGGTTTCGAGAGCGCCATGAGAAATGACTAAATCTCATTAGCTGTCTGGCAACTGACGCACGAGATGGTTAGTAATCGACATGTCTTCAGAATATGATTGCCGAGCTGCTGTTGGGAAGACTCTTCGCGCCGGCCACAAAGTCAAGGAAATCACTGAATGGTATAAGTACCCTAAAACCATTGTGTAGAACCTTGCAAAGGCATATGGGCCCTCAGACAATTTCACACCGGAACGTAACACTCATAAGAAGTCCGAATTAGTCACCAACATACGCAATGACCTGTTCAACCTTCCAGTCTCGACTCTGGAGAAAAAGTGGTGGGCGCCAAGGGTGGCCATATCAAGTGACTTTTGTACCTTATATAATGTGTCAAATTGTGTATAAATTTCACCATATAATCATTTATTTATATATAAAATGCTGTTTTTATTATAAATGAAATTTTTCCGGCTTTATCCGCGCTAAGCTGTGATATGTATATATATATATATATATATATATATATATATATATATATATATATATATATATATATAGGATATATAGGATTATTTTTAGCATATCCTTACTCTGTCCTAGACATTGAGTTCTACCTGGATTCTTCCTCTTGAAATTTTTTCTGAAAATATACATGTATGGGTATTTTATATATATTTTCCACTAATATTATCTATCTATCTATTTATCTATCTATCTATCTATCTATCTATATATATATATATATATAGGATATATATATATATATATATATAGGATGTATATAGGATATATATATATATATATATATATATATAGGATGTATATAGGATATATATATATATATATATATAGGATATATATATATATATATATATATATATAGGATATATATATAGGATATATATATATATATATATATATATATGATATATAGGATATATATATATATATATATATATATATATATATATATATATATATATATATATGTATGTATAGGATATATAAATATAGAATATATATATATATAGGATATATATATATATATATATGTATGTATATATATATATGTATATATATATATATATATAGGATGCGATGGGTAAATTATCTGCCATTTTATATTTTTAATTTTGCACATTGTTTTGCAAGTTTTTTTTTTCTATTTTCTAGACTGCACAGTATAATAGAGTCAGATGTGCACTGTTTGTGAAAAAAGAGAAACATGACGGAATTCACGCTGCCAGAAATTTGGAAACGCCATGCCGTACTGCTTGGCATTCGCACCGGAAGCTCCAATACGAATATTTCAGAGTTTTGTTTGTCAATTTGAGGACGGTGAAGAAAATTTGGAGAGAGATGGATGAGTTTAATGGTGATTACGAAGCTTCAGCAGCTCAGAAAACACACTGATCATTCCGATAAGTCAACATCATGGTGTTTGAGGTGTTCACTATTGATGGAGACATTATGCCTCTGTTCATCTTCCCACAGAGCCTCAGACTGAACACGGAGGGCTACATCAAATGCCTTGAGGAGGTATTGCTTCACTGGTTCAGAAGGGTGACTGCTGGAAGACCCTATGTCTGTCAACAAGACACTGCCCCATGTCACACAAGCAGGAGAACCCAATAATGGTTGTTAGACAATTTCTGCGACCACATCACTCCTTACATGTGTCCACCTAACTGCAAATCTCTTGATCAGTATGTGTGGTGCGCAGTGGAGAGAGAGAGAGAGAGAGATCAATAACTCCAAATATGAACTTAAGACAAGTATTATGGTAACATTCAACAAATTAAACAAGGAGACCACCTCAGAAGAGTTGCAGGAGATTCCAAAGTAGTCTGGAGACTGTGGTTGAAGCCAATGGCGATTTTATTTAATACATTTACTCTATAGTATTTCAAGATATTTTGGTGTAATTTTGGTAAATATATCTGTTAAAATGAGATGTCAGTGTTATTTTCATTTTGCGTAATTTAGACATCAATTCATTCATCGCACCATATATATATATATATATATATATATATATATATATATATATATATATATATATATATATATATATATCCTCATCTTGAACATGTTAAAAAATAGTAAAACTATACATATAAGGTATTAATGGTTCTAATTTTTATTCTCACTGTATTCTTTTTATTACTCTACACGCTATTTAAGTAGATACAACTATCTGAGTAGAGAATCTGTTATTTTTCTGAAAAGTGGGAATTGTGTCCATCGGCTGGGAAAAATCTATTTTTATATAGTCATAGTGTTTTGTGTGTAGATTCACTTGTTGCAGTTAACTGGGACCCTAACAGATGCTACAACCTCGTTTCAGAGTGAACCTGAGAACAAAATGAATTAAGAGTTGGTTCTGCACTCCTCAAAACCTACAATCTATCGATCACAGGCCTTGCTCCTCAAATGACTAAGTAGTAGTGGTCAAACAAAAGTGTTAGTTAAATCATTACCCACGTTGCATTCGTGTAGACAAATATCAAAATTATCCACCATTTTTTTTTTTTTTTTTACTGTAATTTAAAAAAAAAACTCTTAGCGTGTGTTGATGTTAATATATTGTTGGTTTTCTTGTAAGGCTATTCGTTACTAATAAAATAGTAGGTTGTTTTGTTTTATGGCATATCAACTCATGTGGGTCATTTAATAGCAACAAAATTTTTGAAATAGATACATATGGATGGTCTGGTAAAAAAAGGTGTATATGTATACATATATATTTGAACCATTTTTCAATTACTCATATTTTTTAGTACAATCCATCTTCTTTTAGGAAATTTACAATCTTAGATGGTTTTATTTTCGTAAAGAGTTTTTTTTTAATTTCTCACTTGGTAGATAATAATTTTTCCTTCAAAAATTATTGTTGGTAAGATTGTTTTTATTACAAAGTATTTCTGGCATTAAAACCCATGTTTACACAACTTTGGGTGTTAACTATTTGCCCATAGCTGGGACCCTAACAGGTGCTAACACCCCGGGTCAGTGTGGACCTGGGAACACCAGCAATTAAGAGGTGGTTCCACGCTCATCAAAACATCCTGATGAGAGGCCTTGTTGTTGGACGTAGTTTATCGTCTTACCTAGGACGCGGCTGTAGTTTATCGTCATACCCAGGACAGACCGATAAGATAGATTATCTCAACTGTTAACTTTTATTGTTTCTCTTAAGATTTCCGCTTTTCTCATATGAATAAAGGGAGGAATATTTTATCAGATAATGTGGAAAATTTTTTTATCGCAATGTTAGAATGAAAATGGGTGTAGCGTAAAGGCTATCGGCGCAGAAAATGGGGCGTGCATAGCGTGTTCAAATTACAATCGTGAACGTTCTGGCCACCCTCCCCGCACCGCGTTAGCGGTTAACATAAGTGTGGACCTATCTATCTGGTTATGGTCAGCAATATGTGTAAGACAAGGATAACTGATTTTAAAAACCGTGTAAAGATTAACAGGATCCTTCTGCCTAGCTTACTTTAAATCACTCCTGCTACGATTGCAGAGAATTTAGTGTCCCGACAATCCTGTTTACAGTACACGTGGCGTGTCGAATATTGGAAAGGGAATGACTCATCATAAAATTACCGAAGAGAATTCCGTTTTGTGGTAGAAATATTTGATTTCCTGAAAATGAATGTCAACGAAATAGAAATCCGGGTCTTAAAACAGAAGAGTACATTTTATACTTACAAAAAACGAGAGGACAAGTGTGACTGGAAGATCATACAGCGTCAATATCTCTGAAAGTTTCGATTAGCGGTATCTAAATTTTTTTGAACATTTTTTTTTTTTTTTCTTTCGGGATTTTAATTTCATTGTTCAAAAACAGGAAAATAAGTTAGACTCCGTTTTGGGTTTATTTTTAAAAAAATGCAATTCTTAAAGCAGATGAGAGAAGAGTACATTTTATACTTAAAAAATCGAGACGACAAACGGGATCGAAAGATCATATAGCGCCAGCATCTCTAGTTTTGAAGTAGCGGTATTTAATTTTTTTTGAACATTTTTCTTTCGTGATTTTCATTGTTCACAAATAGAAAATAAGTTAGTCTCCGTTCCGGGATTATTTAAAAAAAAACGCAGTTTTTTTTTTTTTTTTTTTTTTTTGCAGGAGAAATGAAAAAAAGAAACAGACACTATTAGAATAGACAAGGGCCTTTATTTCCCATCGTCCACTTGGTTGGTTACATTTCCTTGCATCCCCAAATCCTTGTACATATGCTGTAATGGATTCAATAGGGGTCCCTTTGAGCCCAAGGAACAACGCGTACGACGCTCTTTATCTAATTAGTAAGCAGACAATTAAAAATAAAAGAAGTGGGAGATGCTGTTACTGTTCGCTCAACACAATGCCTGTGACGAGAGCAGACATTCTCTGGAAGCAAGCCCAGTTCGTCTTCAGCGACTCATTAAATTATTCCCTAAGGAAATTCAGCAGAGGAGCAATTATGGAAGAAATTTCCAACCCTATACACTTGTCGGAGAGAATTTACGCTTAATATCTGGGCTGAGGTAATACGGACGAGCAAGTGGGCAAGCAGGCGACTTTAATCGATGTTCTCTTCCTGTCTTTATTCCCGAGTTTATGCAAATGATATTTGTTTCGAGGTGCATATGGAGAAACGTTTATATTCCTACCACAGCGCGACCGTTCCTCTCTGAGCACGTTGCTATAGACATATACAAATTATACATAAGCATATACATATAGACACGCGTATATAAATATAAATATACACACACACACACATATATATATATATATATATATATATATATATATATATGTGTGTGTGTGTCTGTGTGTGTGTGTGTGCGTTTGTTGATAACATGTCTGTCTTCGTGATATTAAATTGTATGTACGAGTGTGTTGAGTGGAATGGAAGAAGATACACGTGTACATTTGGGTAGTGGTCGGGATTGTGACTTATTGACAAACGGATCCGAATGGGTGTGTGGGTGGCTTGGATGTGCTTACGATATGAACAACGTACGAGACTGACGGGCAGGCCTTCATTTGTGTCGGGGAATCAGAAAACATCGAGGCGCACAAGCAACTCATTCATCATTTCAGGTGTAAAGTGATGGTGTTGATAATGTCTTCATCGGCCATAATTCCCAAAATTATTCTTTGCACACCTCCCTCTAGACTATCAAAAGGGCACAAGGGCAGCACGATTTAGAAAGAAGTGAGGTTGTCGCTTATGGGAGACTTACAGTGGGTTAGATTATCAACCAGGAGTTCAGTGAGTTCAAATCTAGGACACAAATGAAAAGCGAGTGGCTTTGTGAATAACCCGGTCCAAACCGAAGCAAAAGAAATTAGAAAGAAAAACAAAAAAACGTTTAAAAAAAAACAGATAAAACTTTAAACTTGCAATCAAGCTTTATTCTAAGCAAATCGACCATTACATATATGTAAGGTCCACTCATCGCTTTTTATAGGATGGTAGTTCTAGGGGGGAGACAATTAAGGTTGGCTTCGCTATACGCAGTAGCAAATACGGAGAAATCTTTATTAAATATTTATTACTTTTAAAATATTTCATTCATTTTAAATTGCATTCACAAAATTGAACTCTGTGAATAGAACGATGCGAACATTTTTGTTCCTGTCATGCAATGATTCTTGACGTGTTTTTTTCAAACTTATATCAAAAGCCAGTAAAAGTATATTTCCATTGTTCAATAAAAATCAGCCTAGGGTACCTCGACGTAGTGTATTGGTTAGCAAGTTTGTTTCATTAGTTTGTCTCCATTATGACTGAGTAATGAGTTTGATCCTCACTGGGTGACTCTTACTTTTGACCTTGTAGCACAACTAAGCTATGCTTAGTAAAGTGCACTTCGAAGTGGTTAAATGATTAGCAAGATTGTCTTGCTGTGTCAATTACGACTGAATAGTGAGTTTGATCCTCACTGAGAGCATACTTTTTTCATTGTGCCATAAGTAAACTACTCTTGCTAAAATCGCTATCTATCTATCTATCTCAGTCTGTCTGTCTGTCTGTCTGTCTGTATCTATCTATCTATCTATCTATCTCAGTCTGTCTGTCTGTCTGTCTGTCTGTATCTATCTATCTATCTATCTATCTATCTATCTATCTCAGTCTGTCTGTCTGTCTGTATCTATCTATCTATCTATCTATCTATCTCAGTCTGTCTGTCTGTCTGTCTGTCTGTATCTATCTATCTATCTATCTATCTCAGTCTGTCTGTCTGTCTGTATCTATCTATCTATCTATCTATCTCAGTCTGTCTGTCTGTCTGTCTGTATCTATCTAGCTATCTATTTCAGTCTGTCTGTCTGTCTGTCTGTCTTTATCTATCTATCTATCTATCTATCTATCTATCTATCTATCTATCTATCTATCTCAGTCTGTATATATCTATCTACATTATTGTTGTGGTAGGATCCACCTAATTTGCATAGTGGAGTACCGACCATATAAATATGGTTGGTACCAGGAAGACGGTGGAAGGAATCAAGAGATTCAATCCAGAGACTCTGCCCGACTGCGACTCAGTCAACACATTCTCCAGGAACGGTCTTCCCAGGAATATACAAAAGACTATATGTAAATATTGTGTACACTTTCTTGTTGCAATAAATTTTGTTCTAAGTACATTTTGTGTTGTATTATTATTCTATGCATTAGTCAAGTTTCAACAGTTATTCTGTTCATTATCTATATATCTATCTCAATTTGTTCGTTATCTTTCTCTTTTCTTTCTTTCTCTCTCTCTCTATCTATCTATCTATCTATCTATCTATCTATCTATTTATCTATCTATCTATCTATCTATCTATCTATCTATCTATCTCAGTCTGTATGTATGCATGTATCTATCTATCTCAGTCAGTATATATCTATATAATTCTGTTCATTATTTATCTATCTCAGTTGTTTGTATATATCTATCTACATTAATCTGTTCATTATCTATCTATCTATCTATCTATCTATCTATCTATCTATCTATCTATCTATCTATCTCAGTCTGTATGTATGTATGTATCTATCTATCTCTGTCTGTATATATCTATATACATTATTCTGTTCATTATCTATCTCATTCTGTTCGTTATCTTTCTCTCTCTCTCTATCTGTCTATCTATCTATCTATCTATCTATTTAACTATCTATCTATTTCAGTCTGTTCCTATCTATTCCTAATGGTTTAAATAGATACGTGTTCCTGAACGCGGCGAGGAGGCAGTGCTCGATTCATGATCATAAGAGAGAATTTTGAGTGACAGCTTTCAAGACGAACATTTAGTGCCTCGTCACTACACAATCTTCTTAGCTTCTCATTTGATCATGTGCTGAACTACCCTAAGCGACTTAAGAATTGAGAAGTCAAGGCGCTGACCTAAACCTGTTTGAAGGAAGGAAGGCTATTATTTTTTTTCGTAAATTCGATTTCATTTCAGGTTTTTATGACTGAATGATCTTCAGAGACAATATCGATACACACTCTACCTGGTGTTCGGTCTGATCATCTGCCCGTGGAGCATGTCTGCGAGGTCAAGTCACGCTCATTTATTACTACCATTTGCAAGCATTTAATGTGGGCTCAAACTAAGCATAACTGCCGTAAGTGAACGAGAATTTATTTCTCGATAGGTTGAAATGTAATTGAGAGCCACGTCTTTTAATGTCTCAGATCAAATAATATCGTAAATTTTTCGCGGAAATCCTAGTTGTCAAGATTAGAACTTATTTCTTTGAATTATTAATCCACTTTGATTGATTATATTCTGTTTACATTGATATTAGATTCTAAAGTTAAAGTTGTGTTATTGCGAACAGAAGCTGCTTGCAATTCAAACGTTGCTTTTAAAGACGCCCAGAGAGAGAGAGAGAGGGTGGGGAGAGAGACAGGGAGAGAGATAGAGGGAGAGAGGTAGGGAGGGAGAGCGGGGGAGAGAGAGGGAGGGAGAGCAGGAGAGAGAGGGAGAGAGAGAGGGAGTAGAGAGAGGGAGGAAGGGAGAGGGAAAGAGAGAGGAAGAGAGGGGGAGAGGGAAAGAGAGAGGAAGAGAGAGACAGGGAGAGAAAGAGAGGGAGAGAGGGAGAGGGAAAGAGGAAGAGAGAGGAAGAGGGATAGAGATAAAGGGAGAGAGGGAAATAGAGAGAGATAGGGTGAGAGAGTGGGGAGAGAGGGAGAGAGAAGAAGAGAGACAAAGGGAGAGAAAGAAAGGGAGAGATAGGAAAAGAGAGAGAGAGGGAGAGAGAGGAAGAGTTAGATAGGGAGAGAAAGAGAGATTGAGAGGAACAGAGTGAGAGGGGGGAAAGAGGGAGAGTGAGGAAGAGAGGGAGAGGGAGAGAGGGAGAGATAGAGAGAGAGAGAGAAAGAGAGGAGGAGGGAGATAGAGAGAGAGAGGGAGAGAGGGAGGGAGAAAGAGGGAGATATAGGGAGAGAGAGGGAGTGTGTGAGAGAGATAGAGTTAAGAGAGAGAGAGAGAGAGACTGCGTTATCTAATTGCCGTTTGCCTGCTGAATGAAACGACTGCCTATTTCGCATTCGCGGGTGTTCGAGCCTCGTTGTCAGTTAGGATTCGAATACTGATTTCAAAAATAGGACAGGGGTCTCCAAAATAAATACTCCCTACAAATACACACTCAAAACAATACTCATTACAAATGTTGCATCTTAAATCTGACCTGGACACAGACTAGAACTAAATGTCTACATTTCTTATACTACCACTACTTTCTTTTGCCACCTCATCTCCAGAACTTACTCCCATCGTTGCTAAGAAACTTGTCCTTTTTACTGTGTTTATTTGACTCAATATACAAATAGATAAATTCGTTAAGTTCTTTACCCGCTATTTATTATTATGCGTCTCACATCCATTAAGTAGGTTAGACGCAGATTCCCCTGTTTCTCTTACCTTCATTACAGAATCTGGGCGTTAGAATCTCCAGGCGTTCTTTTTTATCGTGCGTTGTCGGAGTTAGCTTCTCCTTAATTGTTCACTAGGGGTCGCTCTCCCTACACTATAAATACTGGGCGACTTCTTGCCTCGTTCTCTTTTTCATTTTGCATTTCAGTAGACACATTTAAAAACGTGATCTCTTGTAGAGATCTGCGTTTTCGCCCACTTGTGGGAAAACGCCATGTAACACACATACACGTACGTACGAACATTCACCAAAATACAAACTCCTTACGTTCACACACAAACGCAAATGTTTATGCCTTTGTCACTTGTAAATTTATTGTTTAATACATGTATTTGTTGAGATTTTTATATATCGGTCTGTTTTCTTTACCTCTTCGGTTGGACTCAACTTGAGTCCGCCATTGTTCTTGTAGTTGAACCTTTTAGCAGGAATAAACAGCACGTGTTCCAAATACAACAGCATTCTAACCCTCACGGTCCCATACAGTGTCACACGCTGTATGTTACGGGCTGTTTCCCCCATGGCACTTACATTGAATAAGGATTGTCTGCGTTATCTCCTCCGAGCCCTCATTTTTATTATGTGTCCCACACACTTCAAATAGGTTACTCAGTGTTTTGCCTGCTTCTACTATCTTTATTATGCAACCTGGTTATTAGATTCCCCAGGATCTCTTTTTTTTATGTGTCCCACACCATTTCAGTAGGTTACTCGCTGTTTTCTCTGTTATTCTTGTCTTCAATACCGAATCTGAATATTAGATTCTTCAAGCTCACTTTTTTATTATGTGTCTCAAACATTTGAAGCAGTTTATTAGCTGTTTCTCCTATTACTGTTACCTTCAATATGCAATCTGAGCGTTAGTTTCTCCATGCTTTCTTCTTTATTAATTGCCTCACACTGTTTAAGTAGGTTACTGACTGTTTCCTACGTTTCTCTTACACTCAATATACAATCTGATCGTCAAATTCCGCAGGCTCACACTTTTATTATGTGTCCCACACTCTTTAAGAATGTTACTAGCTTTCTCACCTACAACTCTTACCTTCAATATGCAACCAAAGCTTTAGATTCACTCGGGACACATTTTTATTATGCATTCCACACACTTTAAGTAGATTATTGCTGTTTCCCTACAACTCTTACATTCAATATGTAATCTGGGCGTTAGATACTCTAGACGCATATTTTTTTTTATTATGTGTCCCATACTCTTTAACAGATTACACGCTTTTACACCTAATAATCTTACCTTCAGTATGTAACCTTGTGTTAGATTTTTTTGACACACGTTTTTTTATTATGTGTCTCACATTCTTTAAGTAGGTTACTCGCTGTTTAACCTAATACACTTAATTTCAATATGCAATCTGAGCGTTAGATTCTCCAGACACTAATTTTTATTACGTCTCTCACACACTTTAAGTACGTTACTCACTGTTTTCCCTTATATTGATACTTTCAATATGCAATCTGAGCATTAGATTCTCTAGGGTCACGTTTTATTTAAGTAGGCAAATCGCTGTTTCCTTTAATTCTCTTACCTTCCATACCCAACATAAGTGACAGTTTCTCCAGGCACTCTTTTTTATTACGCGTCCCGGACTATTTGTTAGGTTCCTCGTTGTTTCCCCTACTACTCTTATCTTCAATATGCAATCTGAGCGTTAAGTTCTCCGGGCACACTTTTTTATTAGGTGTCCCACACACCTTAAATATGTTACTCTCTGTTTCCTCTAATACGCTTACTTACAATATGCAATCTGAGCGTTAGATTCTCTAGGAACTCTTTTTTTATGTGTCCCACATTCTTTACTCGCCGTTTCACCCACTAAACCTACCTTTAATGTGCAATCAAAGCGTTAGATTATCGAAACACTTTATTATGTGTCCCAAACACTTAGGTTATTTGTTGTTTTTCCTACTATTCCTACCTTCAATATGTAATCTGATCATTAGATCATCTAGGCATACGTTTTGTTATATGTTCCACACTATCTAAGTAGGGTACTCGCTGACTCCTTTAATTCTCTTACCTTCAATACCCAATATAAGTGTCAGATTCTTTAGGCACACCTTTTCTTATGTGCCACGCATATTTTAAGTAGGTTACTAGCTGTTTCCCTTTCTACGTTTACCTTTAATATGCATTATGAGCGTTAGCTTCTCTAAGCTGATTTTTTTATTATATGTCTGTGAGACATATAATAAAAAAATTCAGCTCTTTAAATATGTTACTCGCGGTTTCACCTACTACACTTTCCTTCAATACGCAATCTGAGCGTCAGATTCTTCCAGCATACTTTTTTAATTATGTTCCCCACATTCTTTAAGTTGCTTCTTCGCTATTTCCTTTGCTTTTCTTACTGTTAATATGCAATCTAGGTATTAGATGCCGCAGACCCTATTCCTTGTTTATATGGTCTACACCCGATATGTAGCTTACGCTATGTTTCCTCCGCGTCAACACGCCTTGTGTGTGTGAGATTTCCCACGCCCTCTTTCTCCTTTATTTTAGGTTCAACGATTGTTAAGTCGGTTACACTCTTTTCCCCGTGTTTTTGTTTGTCTTTTTTATGTCCTGTAACTATTAAATGCTCAAGATTTTAAAACTCGTTGTGCAAAGATTCTATGAGTAGTATTCTCAGTATTTGTCGGGTGAACCATATCTCTGCCGTGTCAAGTTTTTTCTTTCTGAGGAAAGATTGTTCAAATTTTAATGACATATATCGGAGATTAAATGTTACATATCACTTCGGTATTATTTAATTTCTTTAAAAAGACATTTTTTTTCAATCTCTTAATATCTTAATATTTTGCAGTCATCATTCACTATTCCGACGTATATTTAGTTTCTTTGTTCACACTTTCAAACTGTCCGTTCAATTCCATTAAAATAGTGGACAGGGTTTCATGATATTATAATTATTGGAGAAGGAAGTGTGTTTTAGCGATATGGCTATCAGCCCGAAAAGTGGAATCGGGGAACTGATTCTTCTTATTCTATGTGCCGTGTCCCTGCAGGACGAGGGCGATGATTGCTCTCCACATCTTCCTACATTTCTTAGCTCTTCGATTGTCTTTTTGCCATCCCCCACTCCATTTACTTAAACTAGTCAGATTGCCCCCACCCTCTCTGTTACCTTCCATGTGTTCTGTGAGTGTCCATTTCTCCAAACCTTCCGTCTACATTGTTTGACCGAGAAATTTCATCTGTATCTTTGTGATTCTGGAGAGGTTTTCTTTTTGTTTCCATTTTCCTCGAAACTTTGTC